TAAAAAAAATTAAAAAAATTAAAAAAAAGATTGTGAGCACCAAACACAATGCAAAGGGGCTGTTGTTGATGAATCAGTCAAGGGCCTTAGGCATTGGTGAGAAGCTTTAGACCAACTTTTTAAAAAAAATTTTTTTGGGGGGGAGAAGAGGTAATTAGGTTTTTTTTTTTTTTTAAATTGGCAGTACTGGGGATTGAACCCATGACCTCGTGCATGTTAAGCACACACTCTACTGCTGAGCTATATCCACCACCCTCTTAGACCAACTCTTGAGTGGGAAAGTCCAAAAGATGTATTATGCCTGGCTTCTGGGCCTCACGTATGACAAGTACTGGGTCAGACAGAAAATCTTAGTGACTCTGAATTAGATCAAGGATCCGGCAGATGCAAATGTATGCTACCCCGGGTTAACCGTATTTGCATTTGGCGTTACTGTATAAGAATCAGGCCCAAGAGCTCCTATTTGTGACAGCTGAGCAGAATGCAACATGTGGTTACAAAAATCAGAGTTGTCATATTAAATTGGCCTTCAAAAGGTTCTTTTTAACGGTGATTTTCACGGTTAATAAAGCCATTAAGCACCCAAGGAGTGACCTTATCATATACCTTACATTTCGGCTTGAATGTATAAATCGATGTCCAAGTGATTTAATTAAGGCAGCTGCAGCTAGTTCTTTCACGACACAACTCACTTTACGTTTGTAAATATTTCAACTGCCAAGAATTTTGCTATAAGAAGTGTGACTTTCAGGAATTTTAAATGATTTTTTAAATGACTCTGGACTGATTCTATATTAAGCATAAAGTAGAACATTTTGGAATGAGTTTCTTAGGTTTGAAAATTTTTCATTTTACTCTCCATTACATTTCTTCCACTGCACATGCTTTTTAGGTAATCACGTTAGCCTAATTAACTCTCTGTGGCTCCAAAAAGACTGTTTTTCTCTTTGGTAAAGACTACAGCTCTTCTACTCGGGGGAGATGTAGTAACAATAAAATGTCTCCTTACTTGAGAAATTTTTGAAAGACATATTTGATAGCTCTTGGTAAACACCAATATAGTTTGTGAAATTGCAATAACATTGGACACATCTGTTGTACTATTTCATTCATCACGTTTTACACACTACCTAGAGTGTACACTCTTTGAAGGCCGGGGTTATGTTTCATTCATCCTGTGGGTCACAATTCTTGGTGTATAGTTGGTACTCAATAAATATTGACTCAGTGACTGTGGCTTTCCATGACAATTTTGCTGCCGTAATGAAGACTGGCAATTCATTTATTTAACACTCTTCATATTCCACCTCTGCAATATTTATAACCTATTCTCTTTCCTCTAACTCTTTAATCATTAATGGCCAAATGGAACTTTATATGACCTAAGGCTAAAGCCATCAAATTTGGATTAAATCTTAGTTACCCATTACGGTGAATCATTTTCTTAAAATCTTTATTTTAGACAGTATGCTTTTACTGAGCATGAACGCATATAATTAGTATATATGATATAATTTGAAGTATCAATTATTTTGGAACAAAATATTGTGCTTCCTTTTTAGAACTTCTTTATTAGAGACATGGAGTTTACACCTGGAGAAAAATGGGTCATCTGGTGAATTCAGAGGCTTGAAAATGAAAGCAACTTTGAGGAATTATCCAGGCCATTTCTTGCACGCGCATCACAATCTCTTCAAACAGTTCAGACTAATTTGTATTAATATTATTTTGAGAGATTTCCCTGGCTGAGCAAGTTCCTTTGGTAACCCAGTCTAAAGTTTACCAGAAGTTTTACTTTACGTGTCACCTAAATTCTTCCTTGGTAAAATGCCAACTTGTTTCCTCTTTTTTATATTCAGCAAAGATAGCAAAGGAATTGACCAGGAACCATTCTTAAAAACACTCTATATCATTGATGGAAGTGTTGAAATGATCCTCAGTCTGCTTGGCTTTGGTTGATTTATCTTCACTCGTGTTCCTAACTCTCTGCCTCTAAATTTTTTTCTCTCCTCACTCCCTGGAATACTGTCTTCCATCTTTCCAGTTTATTAGTCACCTTTTTCATTCATTCCAAAGGTGGTTATTGGAA